TTCAAGGTTGACAGCTTGTATAAACGTTTTCATTTAACATGCTGGATGGGCACATGTACATAAAAAATACAAATGATAGGAGGCTGAGGTTTGTATAAGGTGTCAACTGCATACTATTGAAGTGAGTTATACATCAAAACTATGCAAAAAATGTAGTTTCGGTGCTGCAAAGCCTTGCAATGATATGAACATCTATTTTTTTCTTAATTATGAAATTTAAAGTTCTAAAAATGGTGACGTTTAAGTAGATTTATAAACACTTAAAAATAATGAAAGTGGACTATCCAGATAATATATTAGAAGATGAACTGTTTTTAGGACTAAAAATCCCATTTTTTTCATGTCGCTGAATGCCAAGGTCGCGATGACTGAGTTCAGGGTCGTTCCAGCATTGGAACAACCTCCTCTAATAGGTTTTAGGTGCAGTTTATTTGTACAATATAAGATTCACACCTTATATATAAACTTTTTCCATATTACAAATGTACTTAAATTTTCAAAAATAAAAAATGTGTTAATTTATTGAAAAGCCATTCTGGACTCGACATATCAAGGACGAGTACGTGTCCAGCTTTTTGCCCGTCAAGGTCTCCATCTAGCTACAATTATTGGAGCTCTCGGCCTTAAATGTTTTTATGTTGGGAAAACTTTATATAGAGCTGGGGTTCTAAACAATCAAATTAGGGCCCACCTAAAATATTGCACTAGAAGAGGTGTTGATGTGCAAATATACTCAAATTGATCATCTTGATATCAAGATATATGGATATGAGAAAAAAATGAATTTCAAGTTTTGGAAATAGTGTATTTTGTAATAAATTTTTGAACCATCAATTTTCAAGATTCTCTTCGACCTATCGATCTACACTATTTTTTAAGATTTAAATTTTATAAATAAAAATAAAAATAGACTTTAAGGTTATCATAAAGATTTTTAATATTGAACCAATATTTTTCCATAGTATTTGAAGGTAAGCTCTAATTCAATTGTTTAGAGCCTAGGCTCATACAAATGGCACCCTTTTATGTTTAGGATGCCACCTTATAATGTAGAACTGCATATACCCTTCAAAAGTCCATGAGAAAACGTACTTTTAATGTTGAAAAACCCTTTGACCGGTCATCTTGACATCGAGACGGATTATGATGAAAAATAAAATGATTTTAAGTTTAAGAAATAATACATTTTACAACAAATTATTTACACCATCTATTTTCAATAGTTTTATATGTTCTCTACATGATTTTAACTATTTTTTAAATTTAAAATTTTATAATTAGATAAAAATATAAATTTTTAGATAATCCTAATAACATTTGACATCAAAATTATATACCATGATAAAATTTGAAGGTGCACCTTACCTCTACACGTACGGAAGGCCCCTTTTGCCAACTGCATGCTATCTTTTTATCATTATTTTGGAAAAGATATATGGGTGTGGTTTTTATAAGGTTGCAATTTTAAACAATCCAATTAAAGTGCACCTCCAAATTTTATCAAAACAAATAATTTTGGTGTAAAAAATTCTTAGGATTATGTGAAAATATGTTTTCATTTCTAATTATAAAATTTTGAACTCCAAAAATAGTTAAAAT